TCCCGGCCGGGGTGCCTACCGGTCCCCCCGCGCCTTTTGGGCTGGCACCGTGCCCCCGTTTCGGCTCAGCCGCTCCACGCCGCGGTGCTTCAGCTCGACCCCGTCCCCCTCGCAGCCTTGCCGTCGCCCTGCTCCGAACCGAGGTGGAAGTGTTCGAGAAGTGGTACCGCAAGCTGCAGCCGAGCGTCCCGTCCGTCCAGCCCCCGCCCGAGGCTCAGGATCCCCCGCCCGAGCCGGCACAGGTACCGCTCCGGGTTTGGGGTCTGGCTGCCACCCTACTGCTCGGAGCTGTGACACCTCCTCCTTCTGCAGCCCCCCCGACCTCCCGATCTCAGCACTCAGCCCAGAGCAGGTCAGCGGGCAAGCTCCCCGGTGTGAAATATGATGAGGAAAAGTCACAGAATCATAACATGTTAGGGGTTGGAAGGGACCTCTCGAGATCATCCCATCCAACCCCCTGCTAAAGCAGGACCGGCCAGGGCAGGCTGCACAGGTCTCCAGAGGAGACTCCACAACCTCTCTGGGCAGCCTGCTCCAGTGCTCCGTCACCCTCATAGTAAAGAATTTCCTCCTCACATTGAGGTGGAACTTCCTATGTTCTAGCTTAGACCCCTTATTCCTTGTCCTGCTTCTGGGCACCGCTGAAAAGAGCCTGTCCCCTTCCTCTTGACACCCACTCCTCAGATATTTATAGACATAAGATCCCCTCTCAGCCTTCTCTTCTCAAGACTAAACAGTCCCAGTTCTCTCAGTCTTTCTTCATGGGAGAGATGTTCCAGTCCCTTAATTATCCTCATAGCTCTCTGTTGGGCCCTTTCCACTTGGGTACTTCCGCTGAGTGTGTTTTGCTCTCTTCCATCTTCTTGGAGCTGCGAGCAGACTTTTGGAGCAGATTTTTACCTCCTGGCCCGAACATCACCTTTTCACCAGAGACACTGTGAACAGAAGCTCGAGACCCTTTGCGGTGGAGCTTCTTTCGGCCAGTGTCCTGCACTGGGTTTTAGTGCTTGCTGAGCCTAAAGTAGCTGCTTTCTGGTTAGTCCCAGACTGCACCCTTAGAAACTTTGCTTTTGGCCAGGAGGACACGTCCCCTCTGCAGAGCAGTGCCTGTGTCCCTACAGCACCCGGCATTGCTCCCAAGTGGTGTCAGTTCTTCTGAGAGTGTACTCCAGCTTGCCCATGCTGCAGACAGCTCATGGCATCTGGCCCAGGCTGTGGCAGGCGACCCAGTCCGTCCTACACAACAATTAGCCTTTTTCTCTACAAAGAGGTACCTGCCAACATGAAGCTGTCCCATGAGCTTTAACCTCTAGCCCTGGATTTGCCTGTTGAACTGAAAGTGCTTGTGTAGGAGGGTTTTGTGAGTGGATGAAAGAAGAGATGGGGTCAGTCCAGGTGTGGCCCTAAGTTACCTCTGCTTCGGAGAGGCCTCCTTGTCCTTGATGGAAACTGGAATCCCTCTAACACGACCATTGAGATTATTTTCTTTTTGAATACAGTGAAGTGCAGCAACAGTTGGCCGGTGCTGGCTTTCTAATGGCATCTGCACTGTCCCTTGGTCGTTGCAGACACGTAGCAGGTACAGATCCAGATTGCACAGTTCGATGGACTCTTTTGTAGGCCTGACAGTGGAGCAGAAATGTGAGCTTGCTGAGCGGGAGCTGACTGAGGTGAAGGATGAGATTCAGAGGATAAAGGAGGACTCAGAGCAGACCTTGCAGAACCTCGAGGTATGGCTCTCCAGGACCCTTAGGATCACCAAGTTGTCAAACAGTCTTGTTACTTTTCACACCTTTTTCAACGTGCCATCCCTCAGGCAGTGGAGACAGATGTGCTTGGTGAGGGCTGGTCATATCAGAGCATTGCTGTGAGCGGTCCTGAGTTGAGAGTGGCAGCCAGAATTGTTCTCTCACTTCACCCCTTTCTTGGAATCAAGTAACCAACAGAGATCAGAGGTGCCCAGTCTCTAAAAATGGATCTTATTATGGCAGGAACTAATAATAATAAAGGCGAGGGGAAGATTTTTTAGGTAGAGAAGTTCAGATCCACTGTGGGGGATGAAGAAATCAACACTCAAAAATATTTTTGTCAGCTTCTTGAGGATATGCCTTTTGTGCCAGACATATTTTCCATTCTAGCAACTCTCAGAAGCTTCCTGATTTGGCTGGATGTGGCTGATTTTGCAGTCTTCTCCAGGGTCTGCCTTTCTGCTGTCTCTGGGGTTTCTTCAGAACATGCTCCAAGTCTGTGAGACTGTGCTGCTGCTGCAGGCTCCTTGTGGCTGTATCACCATCTCTGTGCTGCCTGACAAGACTTCCTCCTAGCCAAGATGCTCAGGAGCTTTTGGGGAGGGAGAGACCTCTCCATTTGGTTCAGACCAGCCTGTCGCTCTCATGTGGCTCAGGGCATACACAGTAAACAAAGGGTGGTAATTTGTCATGTGTTGGCTTAGCCAGACTGGCAATGTTTGTAGGTCAGGTTGGAGTGACAGATGTTGAGGCTCAGGCACTTGAGAGATTTTTTTTTCCCTTGTTCTTTTTGAGTCAGTGAAGCAGCAGTGCTGTGTGAGCCTGCACCATGTGCCTTGAGTTGCACAGGATGAAACTTGGTGCTCCCATGGGAGAAATGCTAGTAATGCCAGCTGAGAGCAGCCCTGGGCCTTCCCAGTGTTCTCCATCCCCAGAGCTGTTTGAGTAAGGGAAGATGGCACTTCTTGACTGTTATGTGACTTTATCTTTGCAGGCAGTAATTGAAGAAGCAGATGTTTGGTGGGCTGGTATTAAGAAAGCCATCAGTGACTTTGAGAAAGACATCATCAGTACCATCTCCAGCAAGAAAGGGAGTATCACAGCTTCTGAAAAGCTGCTGAGATACATGGAGGAGAAGAACCGCCAGAGGGTCAGTGCATGATGGCAGATTTTGAGGCTGGTCTGTCATTCGTATGTTGGTTAGGGAAAATCCTAATTCCCATACACCTCTGTGGCCTACATCATGTTTTCAGATGGTCTTAGCAAGTGTCTTTGGACTGCTCTGGTGACACTTGGCAGGTGGTGACTAGCCCAGGTTCTCACTGGGCTGCTGAGCTGCAGCACAGCCGTGAGCAGACGTTGCAGGGCCTGAGAAAAAGCCCAGCAGGGTGATGCTGAGCAGTGGTTCTTGCTGGCCTCCTGTCCAAGTCAGCAGTGAAGGCTGCAGTGTGGATGTTATGAACAGGAACTGCACCATAAGGAGCAGGGTCTGGGTACTCTTTCTCCTTTCCAGGCTCTGCTGCCTCACTATAATCTGCTGTCTCTCTTTAGGATCTGCTGAGAGAGAAGTTGTGGTCCAAAAATTATTTACTCAAGGGTTACAAGAAGAAGCTGCAGCAGCAGCTCAGGCAGGTGCGTGCAGCAGCTGGGGAGAAGTGGGGACTTGGGAACAAAAGGAGTACAGCCCAGTGCAGGTGCAGGGCCTGCTCTTTGTAGAGCTGCATGGCCCTCCTCGTCCTCCCCTTCCCCCTTTACTCCTGGCCTTGCTGCCTTTGTCAAAGGGCACAGTTGTCTGCCCAGGTTCAGACCTGGCACACATCTGCGTGCATGGGATGAGACCAGAAGTGTCACAGAGTGAAAGCTGGCAGATCTCTTTGTGCCCTTTGTGCCCTGGAAAAGATGTGTGGTGGATGAAAATGTTTCCCCGGGGACTGGCTGCTGTTGGCATGGTGGGAACCTTGCCAGAGGGGACCTGTCTGCACAGCTTGGACCCTCTACACTAGGACATGGAGCTCAGGCTCAGTGGCACACCGTGTCTTGCATTTCTCCCCAAGTCCCAGATTTGCAGACCGATTGAAAACCCTGTTCTTTAGTTTCTCCACAGAGCAAAGCTTTCTCACTTGGGATGTGGCTTTTGTCAGCAACCTACAGCTCTGTGCTTTATTGGTGTTTACAGAAGGAGCAGATGGGAGAGAGACTCTGTGAGGTCTCTTTGCAGCAGCTGCAGGTTAAAAATGCCCAATACAAGGAGAAGATTGATGAGAAGAACCAGGAGCTGCTGCAGCTAAAACTGGCCTTGGGGAAAGCTGTCCAAGTCCTCAACTTCTATAAAGTGAGCAAACCTCCCAGCACCTCCATTTTCCCTTTCTTCCATTTCTGAGGGTCATACATGAGCTGATTAACAGCTCTTGCATCCTTCCCTTTCTCATTCAGAGGATGCCAAACACCTCTTTGCCTTCCCACTGACTTAGCCATTCACTTGTGATGTTTGCCCGAGACACTAAAGGCAGCTGTGCCCTCAGTCATGTTTGGCTGCAGCCTGAGGATGGGGTTCATGCTTTGCAGAGAGGTAATATTATACCCCATGGGAAAATTCCAGTAGGAAAAACCTTTGGTGCTGACTTGTCCAGGAAAATAAGTTTTTTTACATCACCTGTGACCTTTGAAAAGTTTTCATGAGCTGCAGCAGTCACCCTGAGTCTCTATTCTGAACAGTGAAAAGTGCTTCTCAGCCAGGTTTATTTGCTTCTTTCAAATGAGCCATTCTGGGTGGGTCACTCCCAAACCCAGCTGCTGTGCTCGGTAGGACACAGAGGAGATAACAAACCAGCATTTGTGTGACTAGACCATGATGCTGCCTGCTGCAGGGGATGAGTGCAGCTGAAACCAAGCTGGAGGAGTAGAGGGGTGGCTTTGCAGGTGGCTGGGAGCTGCCACTGTGCCTGTTGTCGTGTTCCAGAAGAAGCTGCAGGACACCATGGAAACATCCATGTCTCTGATGAAAGACGTCTCCCAGAGGAAGGAGCTGCTGGAGAAAGCTGAAAGAAAAGTTGCTCTGGTGGAGGAGGTAAGGGAGTGACTTGTGAGGCCCTGAGACTTCACTTGGGAGGGCTCTTTCGAGGTACTTTTTGTGGCACGTTAGATACCAATGCCCATTCGAGGTCCAGCAATGAGCTGGATACCTGTGTGCACTTCTGGGGCTGAGCAAGTCCTGGAGCTCCTCCCAGTGCCAGTGAACACAGGTAGGTCTGCAGAACAGGCTGTGATGTGGATTTGGGCCCTGGCTCCACAAGGACCTGCCACTGGCTTCTTGAAATCCCGTTTTCTGGAACTTTTCATCAACAGTGTTCTCCCCAGTGGGAAGTGGCACTGCTGTCATGCCAGTCTGGGGACATGTGGCCTGGTGGGGACACCACAGCTTTGGGCAGCAGGTTCAAGGGGCTCCCTAGCAGTGCTACCAGGCACTGGTGGACACATCCCACTGCTCCCACCCAGGGCTGGGGGTTTAATTTGTCCTGTCTGCCTGCTTCCCCGGAGGACTTGGCCGCCAGCTGGCAGAGGGACATTCCCCTGGGATCTCTTTGCCCTCTGTCCCTATTTGTCTGGCAGCAACGAGCCAAAGCTGAGGGTGCGAATGGGCAGCTGCGGACCCTGCTCTCGGACTACACCGTCCCCCCTGTGCTGAGTTACGTGCAGAAGAAGATGGATCTTACCGACCTCAAAAACAGCCTCAAGGCTTGGGAGAGGAGGGCGGCAGTGACTGAGGTGAGACCGGGCCGGCTGTGCAGGACCCCGGATTTGTGCCAGGCGAGTGCTGGGTGCCGGCGGAGCTGCATCTGTGCCTGCCCTCCCGCAGACACCCGGCGACTGGAGTGCTTGCTCCTGGCCCCCCAGGAAGCCACTGAGGCTTCTCCTGCAGGGCTTTTGAGGGCTCCTGGCAGAGCTGGAGGCTCTTCCTGTTTACAGAGCAGCAATCACTCCTTACCCTGAGGCTGGAGGCTGAATTTTAATGACTGAGCAAAGAGGGGAAGCCAAGACAAGGGCACAGCTTGTAATTTGCCAGGAAGCACCGTTGGGCTATACTGAACCCTGCTGGGTGTGTGAGGAGAAGGGGACGGATGGCAGCCCAATGCATTTCTGGCTCTGCATATGTAACCTGCACTAGCCTTTCAGAATAGAATCGTTAAGGTTGGAAAAGACCTCCCAGATCAAATCCAGACATCAGCTCACCACCACCATGACCACTAAACCATGTCCTGAAGTTCTCCAGCACTCCTGATAACTTTCCCAGTGTTCGTGGTCCCCTTTGATCTCAGACATTTCTTACTTACTTGTATCTTGACTCTTGCCTGATAAGGACAGGCTAGCCAAGATTCAAACGTGAGTTCATGGCAAAGTGGCAATAATATCTTTGATCCTCTTCCTGCCTCAGCTCCTACAGCCTGGGAGGAGATGAAGAGATGACAGAGAGGAGCATAGTCAAAGCCTGGAGGTAGTAGGACATGTCTGTATCCCTGCCCCTTATGCAAAGCAGTGTGGAGAGAAAAGTGGCTGGGTTGGGTGGATCAGACAGTGTGGGATAGATACCTTGAAACCTTGAGTAGAGATGGGCTTGGGTGTAGCTAGAATGGGGAAGGGTCTGGGCTTGTACCTATCCAGCACCCAGCCCCTCAGTGCCCCAGTCTGCAATGGACAGGGCTTACTTGGTCCAGGCTTTCTCAGAGGTTGGAACTGTGTGGATTTGAGCTCAACCCATCAGTGCCAGTGCTGTGAGTTCAGAGGTAGGGGCCTGACTCTCTGAGCTCTCTAGGAGCTGGAGAGCAGCGAGGGCTCAGTGGGCTAAAGAAGAAATCTGTAGCTGTCCCTGGAATAAGAGTGAGGCTATAAACCTGTTTTGTTTGAGAGTCCCTCTGTGGCAGGGACCAGCACCCCTGCTGCCATGCAAAGGGCTGAAGGTTTCTGTGTCGTGCTGTTGTGTGGGGTCTCCAGGCTTCCTGTGGCATTCAAAGCTGAAGCAGACCTGCAGGAGCTCTCTTCAGCGTGACACAGCAAGCACTGATCTCAGGTGGGAGCAGAGGAGGATGAAGGGGCAAGCAATACAGCAGCTCAGGCCAGGCCAGATTGCAGCCTTGCAGCTTTGCCCACTATGTATCACTGCTGTCTGGACATATTAAAGCCTTCTCCTTTCTCTTCTTGCAGATGTCCTTGCAAACCTACCGCAGAGCATGGAACCAGGTCAAGAGGTCAGGTAACCAGCACTAGGCTTGTCTGACGCTGCAAGGTGGGCAGTGGAAGCTGCAGCAGGAGCCAGCCCTGTGGGGAAGTTTGCTGTCAAGTGGGTGAATGTAGCACTCTGCAAGCTGCAGAGAGATGAAGCTAGTTCTGCCTGAAATGATAAAAAAAACCTGTAGCTGTGTTGTGAGACCATCTCTTTGGTCTGTCCTAGCATGTACTGGTTTCCACCAGGCTCTGCTGCCTGGCCCCTCCACAGACCTTGCTAGCTCAGCTAGCCCTGCTCTGCATTCTCCCCGCTCCCTCCATCACCACAAGCAGTTATTCTTTGGTGATCAAATCTGACATGTTCACAGGAAATGTCCTTTGTCCCTGGGCAAGCCCTGGTAATCACATAATACAGCAGGAACCAGAGGGGGGTCCCTGGGAGATGTGGGAGTTCAACATCTCTGAGCCGCACCGACAACAGAAGAGAGGGGAGCAGTGTGAGCACATAGGGCAAATCATTTCAACAGGGCATGAGTGAATCGAGCAGCTTTTCTGAGGGCAAAAGTGTATTTCATTTACCTGAAGAAACAAAACAGCAAGAAGGGAGCAGCTACCCTTTTCCCAAGTACCTGGGGCAAGTACCTTGGAGATGGGAAGTGTTTTTCCACTGCAGGAGTTAAAAATCATCCCAGATGAGTTCAGGTCTGTCTTTCTCTTCTTGGGGTTGAAACTAACTTCTTGAATTATCCTGAGTGGTGGTCTGGAAGCCTCTTCCCAGTCTTTAGGTGGAGCCTGCAGATCAGCTCATGCCCTGTCTAGTGTGGGGAATGCAGGAGGTCCTGTCCTCTTGGTGATGGCCAAGATCCAGTCAGTGGGATCCAGATCAGACACTGGGGTATACAGGAACAGCCCACAGAATCTCACAACATCCTTGCTGAGAATTCCTTTCAGGACCCATTTCTCAGTCCCTCTAACCTGGCACATAGCAGGGTTGCTGGCGGCATCCTTTAGAGAAACCAAAAAGGCAGGGTTGTGTCTCAGCAGTAACCCTCCTGCCCTAATTCCTGGTGGCTGTGGACTTCACTGGGGTGAGAGGAGTGCAGATCACAGCAGTCCAGTCCTTTCTCACCACTGGCAGCAGAGCAGCACTGATTCAGGGGGCTGGCTGCCCTTGGGCTGATGATGTCCCTGTGTGCCCGGGTGATGTGACTGGCAGCCCTCCTGGTGGCTGCCCATGCCCCCATCAGCCCAGCTCCATGCCTCATCCCTTGGTTCACACCACAAGGAACCCCTCTTGGTTTTGCCTCCCGAGCATCTTTGACCTGACCCTTGGAGGCCCCAGCAGTGTGAGAAGCCCAGGGACCAGAAGCAGCACCCAGAAGCTGCAGGGAGATGCTCCCCCCACCGCTCATGCAGAGAGGAGTCACACGTTCAGTTTCCCACACTTGCTGTTCACAAGCTCTGCGGAAGGAATCTTTTCCTGTAAGGACTAAGCAGGAAAAGCCAAACGACTGTTTTGGCTTCTCTCCCAGCCTGGAGTCAGAGAAAAAGGGGGAGGAGGTGGTTTGGCTACGTCTGCCTGGGCTGGGTGGGCAGACAAGCAGCTTGCCACTTTGCCCATGTCCTTGTGGCTGCAGCCTGCAGTCACAGCAGGCAGGGACCCACCTCCACCACCAAGAGCATCCTCAGGAAGTCACTGCCTGGCCAAGGGAGCACCATGAACCTGTGGCTCTGGACAGTCCCTAGCCTCCAAAAGCAGGCATGAGTGACCAGTGGGTGCTTCTTCCTCCCAGGACAAGCCCTGTTCCCTTTCCTCCCATTGGGCCTGTTGGGAGGAGGGAGCAGGGAGGTGGCTCTGCCCTGCTGGAGGGACCTCTTTGCCACAGAAGCCAGGGGTTACCCGTGGTGGGATGGATCCTGCCCGAGACCCAGCAATTCACAAGGTCCAAAGCAGAGAGGCTCCCGTGGAGGAAGCAGATGAGCTGAATGATGCTGCTTGAGTCCAGTGGGGCATCTGTCCTGAGCAGAGCAATACTGTTTTAGAGCAGAGGTGTTGTTAACACCTCATCAAAGTCCTTATGGGGTCTGAGCTGATTGAGTATCGGGGCTGATCCTGTTGCCTCTTCATGGTGCTCAGCACAACCAAGGCCAGCAGCTGCTGCCGTGGGAACTGGTCTGACTGCAGACTCCTGCACTGATCTCTAGGGAAGTGGGCTGGCCTGAGGTCATCTATGCCAAGGGTGCATGGGGCCTCTGGGCCAGTCACGATGGGGTGTTTGTGCCACTCCTTCCCAGTCAGGCTCACTTCAGATCCCAGTACAGCGAGCTGCTGGGATCCCCCTGTCACCCCGGTGATACAGATCAGTTCGGGCCCACTGTAGCAGAATGGCATCAGGGGACACTGTGCACCAGTATGGACTAGAGCTTTGTACTCCTGTGGGTCTGACGTGCCGGGCCATCGGACCCACACAGTCCAATAAATCCCATTGTCCCTCTCCTCCACCTGGCTGGAGGCAGGGCCCCTCTAATCCTGGTCGGAGTCACTCTTTTTTGTAAAAATGACTTCACTGTCCCCGCAAGAGGGTCATAAGATCAGCTCTTCTTTTCTGTCTGGAGAATTTCCACTAGACACTGGAGTGACATTTTTCTTGGATGACTCCCCTTTCAAAATTTCTTTCTCCCCCCCAACTCATGTACTCGTGCAGGTAGGGTTGGAGCAGATTTTCCACCCCACCTCCTCATGTCCTCCCCATGGTCTTGTAAGTAGAACCACAAGGTGCCACGTGGGGTGTGCTTTCCATGGTCTCTCTTTCGGACAGGGGAGTGTCTGCTCCTAATAGCTGAGACATGGGACTGTACAAGTGGAGAGTAGGACATGTCTTCTTCAGCTTTCTGGACCTTCCACGACATTTCCTCCACAGGCAAAACACAGGCTTGCAAGGAGGGAGAGACCCTTGCTTTGCACTGCTGGAGTTTGCCATCCAATTCATCCAGCCTTTGGCATGGCCATTTTTCCAGGACACTGGTGCCAATGAGTTGGTGTGATGGTGGTGCACCTTGTAGAAACCTGCAGGCTGCTGAGGAACAGTCACTGAGTGTGCCTGGCCCTATGTTCTCCCACCACCCACTTTTCCCTCCGATGGCCCTTGCTCCTTGCTGAGGCTGTCCCAGGCTTGACCTCCCCTGGGACTGATGCCAGCCCCTGGTGATATTCCTGCATGGTGGAGCAGGCTGTTGGAGCCTCTTGCAGCACATCTGCCTGCACAGAAAGGATCTCTATGGCACAGCTTGTCCTGCTGGATGCTTTCTCCCTGGGACTGTCCTGCCCAGGCACCTCCTTTCTGTGTGCCTGTTGGGGTCTCTGCCCATCCCGGTCCCACTTGCAGGCAGAAGCGAGGGCAGCAGAAGGAGCTCTGGTGCTGCTTGAGGGGGTTTATAAAAAACAGAAGGGCATGGGGGCAATGGTTAGGGAACCTGGAGGGTAGCAGGAGTTTTTACAGGGGCACCAACAGGCTACAGCTGTCTGCAGCTGGACTTGCCTGTGGGAAAGTCCTGGTAGGGACAAGAAGTCCCTTCCCAGCTTATCAAAGACCAAGTATGCCTTTGGAGAGCAGGACCAAGAAGGTGGGATGGTATGAGGAATGTGAGACTTCCTTCTTTTCACCAAGGATGATAAAACTGTTGAGAAACAGAAATTACAGTATCCCTTGTATGCACTAATTAATATCTGTGGGTGAAAGGAGCTGGTAAAAGGCATAAAGGGAAGGCACTGGGGCTCCTGGGGGGCTGACGTGCTCCCAGTGGGTTGTTCCTGAAATGTTCTCCTGCCCAGTGAGGGATCCAGTGGCTGTGGATGCATGTGCCCAGACCAAGCACTTGGGTGCCTTCTGAAATACTGGAGATAAGGATGGGCAAGAGGAAGGGAAACAGAAAAGGTGGGGGGGAAATCCAAGTTCAAGCTCTTGTTTAAACCTGGATACAGACTAGAGACTAGGGCAGCACCAGCCAGCTTCTTCCAGCATTTGAATACAAGCTTATTATACGCAGAATATAAGGGCAAGGTTCATGCCCTGGCATGTTTAGGACAGGGACATCCCAGGGATGGATTTTTTTGATTTGTACCAAAAGGGGTCACTTAACCCTGCAAGAGCCAGGAGAGCATCTCTGAGAAGTGGATTTCACTCTGCCCTACTCATGGGGGTGCCGCTCTGAAACCGGTCCCCAATCAAGGACTGGCTGGGTTGTTCCAGCGTGATGCTGGTGTCCCCACAAACAGAATGCTTCTGAAGCACCTGACTCACTGTGAGCATGGCTTATTTCATGTTATCTATATTCGCAGGGGTCAAAGACTCCTTCTCTGGCCACAGCTTGGAACTAATGAGTTTTAAGCCCTGTGGTTAACGAGGCTAGCCTGACTCTGCAAGGAGACAAAGCTCAGAGCCTGCCTCCAGGCAGCACGCAGCAAGCTGAACATGGCTCTGCTGTGAGCTTGCACAAAGCCTCCCCTTGTGCAGGAGGGGATCTAGCCAAACGAGCCATCTCCTTGGCTGTGTGTCTGCCGGTGCTCCAACATTTATATTATTTGTTGGGTTGTTCCCACTACCAAGGAAAATTTAAGAAATAAAAGCATCTGATACAAATCTATTGACCACAGTAAAACGTCAGCCCAGCCAAACCAGTCTGCACAGCATGACCTTCGCAGCCTTTGAGACACACTCATTGTTCACCACCCGGAGAAACAAATTTCCTCTCGTCCTATCATCAGTAATCTGGGAGAAGAGACCAACACCAGCCTCACTACAACCTCCTTTTAGGTAGTTGTAAGAGCAATAAAGTCACCTCTCAGTCTCCTCCAGACTAAACAACCCCAGCTTCCTCAGCTGGGCTCCATAAGGCATGTTCTACAACCCTCTCACCAGCCTCATTGCCCTTCTCTGGACCTGCTCCAGCACCTCCATGTCCTTCTATCCTGTGGTGCCCAAAACTGGACACAGGACTCCAGGTGCTGTGGCTCAAATCTTACCTAGGAGGCAAATCTTTAG